AAGATTTGGAGTAAGGGCCTTCTAACTGGGGATTGAATAAAGTCCAACTTCATAAAGTGGACAAACCTCAGTTCTTCAGAGCAGAAGTCAGGTGTTTTTTTTGTTTTTTGTTTTTTTTTTTCTTTTATACATCCTGGAGAACAACAACCATACCTCTCCTTTGGGTCTTAGTCCACACTGCTGGGACTATTATCTATCTTTTGAAATATGTGTCATTTTTCTTCCTAGGGACAAGGTTTCCATATATCTCCAATTTCTAGCCCACATGGTTCTTTGTATATAGTCATTATTCAATAAAGAGATTTTAATCAAGATATGAAAATGGATTACACTAGTTTATTTAACATTTTTCAATTCATTCAGCAAGAAAACTGGTGATTTGAAAATTAGAGAATAAATACTAAAAACATTTCATTTTAAAACATTTTCACATATGCTAAAGCCTCCCCCCCCAAAATCTGCAATTTTAAAATGAAATATAAAACTTTCATTTGCATCACAAACTACTCGAGCAAACAAATTGCATTCTGAGGCAGGATAATTTCATTCTTTGACCAAGCTGCTGACTACAAAAGTCAGGCTTTGATGCCCACTGCTGTTTCTTCCAAAAACATAAACAATATTATAAAAAGGAACTAGATTAATAATTTATAAAAGAAGCTGGGCATTTTCTTCCACTATTTTATCAACTAGGCAGCAATGCTGTCTTACTTTAGAATCAGCCTTAACCTTATTTTCCATTATCTGCTTCCTGTTATTCCAAAACAAGTCTAATTTTATTTCATGCAAACCACTGAGTAGTCACCACTGAAATAAGATCAATTCTGAATCTCTCTCAAGCAACCCTCTGCTTTGTTTTTTATCAGTGTTTATAAAATTACAGCGTGTTGTAAAATTCAATTTATGATTATTTCAGAGAGTTTTAGGCTCCTAAAGAAATTTATTCATTTTTGGAACATATTATATAAGATTTTAGAAACTAAATATGCTAAAAAGGAACTCAAATAAAGAGAAACATTACTCCGTCCTTCCATAAATCCTCTTCAGGGAATAGATACTAATACTTATTCCTTTTGTGATTCCGTTGAGAATAATGTCAATATTAATTGGTGAAAAAGTGTTTTAGTGAAAGACTCAATGTAAGAATACATTTACTTCATTCTTACTTGAATAAAACATCTTGACAAATAATATGTTTAAATAAAACCTCAAGATATCAAAATTGATTTTTTGCCTATGTCTAATGAACTTCTGAACCTATGTTATACATACTACATAAAGGTAGGTTACTATACTGACATTGACATTTATCAACTATTTCACCAAAGATTAAGCAGCCGTGAGGTACTAGGAACTTTTCTAAATGCTATTTAGTACAATGGTGTTTATTTTTACAATTGTCCTTTTCGAATCAAATATAATTTATTTATTTTCCAAACTAAAGTGATAATACTTGTAATTAGTTCTTCAGGATAAAATAAAATGTTTGAATTTTGAAAAGTGAATAGTTAAGCACACTATAGCTCCTACATTGACTATGGAAATAGAGAGCTATGGAATCATGACCAGTAGAAAATATAACCAATGAATATGACAAAGTATTCTTTGTCAATATTAACTAAATGAATATTCTTTAATCAAACTTTAATATGATCAATGTTCATGGTCTACTCTTACTAAATGTATTCAATTTGATTCTTAAAAGTTTTTTATCTGGTCCCAAGAAATGTGTCATAATATTCACTGCATCTCAAACTGGAGCTTGACATGCTTGACTCAAAATGTTCTTTTCTGGTAATTAACAGACACAATGTAGGATTTGGTTTGAGAAACATATTTAAACCACAGGCTTCTGCTCTTATTAATTTCTCTACATGTAATTCCTTTCTTTTTTCTTTATGCACTTACTCTGAGTATGGCAAGAATTGTCCTTGTGTGGTGAGTGCTCATGTGTGTGCACATGTGTGCCTGTGTTGAGGAGCATAGAGAAGTTAAGAGCATAGTGTATAATAAAACCTGGGGTTTAGTCTCAGTTTGCAACACATCTAGATGATACTCTTCATTAAATTACATAATCATTCTGGAGCTTCTTTTCAGAACAATAAAATGAAGATAATAACAGCTGTTATAAGGGGATGTTGTAGGGATTCAAGATAATACATTTGAAGCATTGGTCACTAATGGGCCCTTAATAAATGGTAGCTATTTGTTTTCAATAAATATGATACTATCTTAAACCTGAGGTTTGTTGCTATTCTTTTGGGTATGTTGGGGAGAGGTGAAGTTTACATAAACACACTAAATAACTCCTTAAGACGTATTAGATTGTATACCTTGGCTTAAGGTTTTTATTTTTTATAATTTTATTTTTTTTCTCAAATTCTGTGGGTACAAATATTGTTAGGGTTACATATCTTGCCCCTGCCCCCCTCCCCACCCTGCTCTTCCAGAGCTTCAAGCGTGTCCAGTCTTCAAGTGGTGTGCCCTGCACCCACCATGAAAGTGCGTACCCTTCCCCTTCTCCCTCCTTCCACCTGTTCACCTCCCATTAACAATTTTTTTTTAGACATTTTGGTTACAGTGTGTTTCTTCTTTGCCTCTCCCTAAAAAGGGATAGAGGTAATCCTTTCCCCCCTATAATGCTCATCATATATAAGAAACCCTTCAGCATCCAAGATCTCAGAAACAACTCTATTTATACCCAAATTCGGATGACTACTCTCCCAAACATCCTGTCAAGCATGCATTGAAATTCAATATTCCATTTTGAAAGTGAATCTTTTAAACTCTCCCTGAGAAAAACTACTCCAACTATTTGAATAACTTTTAAAAAATTACCAAATAATTTCAGCATCCAGATTTTATTTTTGCCAGAAAATTAATAAACATATGATAATATCAGTTAAAATTATTTAAAATGTCATATTAGCAATACAATAAAAAATCACCTAAATGTCTTATATTAAAACATTTACTAGATACACACATTTATATCATGTTTCTAAAGTACGTTTTCTTATTTTTTAGGACAAAGGTATTATCTAGTTTTGATATAGTTTAAAATCTGAAGCAAATCAACCTCTCTAACAGGGGAGATTTATCAGAATATGTTGATTGTTTTGCACATGCTGAAAATAACTATTCTCCTATGAATCAGTAGCCTCCTTTTAGAAAGAAGTGTCAAATGTTCATTACATTTATATAACCCTAAAATTTTTAAATAGCAACTTATGTCATCCATGAACTCATTTAAAGAAAAAAAAGTTAAATAAAAGAATCTTGAATGCAGTGATAAATTCACATTTATATCACTGCCAAAAAAGAAAGAAGAAAAAGAACTACAACATCTTAGTCAATTACTGAGATATAGGACAATGTTTACAGGAAAAGGGTTTTTAAAGAATCAAGAAAAAGGTAAAAAAATAAAAATAAAAAAAAACCTCAAGACTTAAGAACATAAGTTAGATACATAGTTAATATTCTTTAAATGAATTTTCCATAGATCGCTCTATGTTACTGAATAAAGCCAGGTAGAAAAAGTTGTTCTTTCCAGATCTTGGCATTATTAAATTACACACAGCTCACCTGATGATCATCCACAACCTAGGCATTTTGATATGCCAGACTCAAAAGTCAATGTGGAAAGAGGACATGTGTCTCTCTAGCTGTGCTCCTGAAACATTACATGGTAGTTGGGCATATTGTTATTCTGTAACTCATATCTCTAGGAGCAGGTAGTTTACTGTCCAATCTTTCCAAGTGCTCAAAATTTCCTTGTTTTCTATCTCATTTTTACAACTTTTACTTAGTCAAAGAACATATAAAACTCTAATTTATGTTTTCAATGTATGAAAACTTTGTATGTCCTTTGATGGCTTAATTATGTTTTCTACATCTGCGCCTTCCCTTTGCCCAAACACTAAGAATCTTACATCTCCATCATGTGTCTACAATATCACTTTTCTTTTAAAATAGCAAACAAAAACATAGCAAGTTGGAGGAAGGTGAAGCCTTACAAAGCCTCTGCTGAATTTCAGGTGTGAGAATGATTTATCCTCATGGATGTTTTTACATAAAAAGCTACAGAATCATAGACTATCATCCTGGAAAAAAAAAAAAAAGCCAGAAGTAATCATGTCCAACCCCTTCATTGCAAAAATGGTGGAACTTGTTGAGACCTAAGAAAATAAATCATTTAGATACTATGTATTTAAATAAAATAAAAGATGCATTGGTAAAGTAGCAGCCAGCTTTCAAGTGTCATCAAGTCTTCCAGGTGAGTGTTCTTTCTAATATTTTAATTCTAGAAATGGCTCATCTTTTTGGGTGATTGAAATTATAAAATATAAAGTTCATTCATTGTGTAACATCTCAAACATCATAACGCAGGCTGGGCGATGGAATAAATTTTTGCCCACAGGCTATAGTTTGTCCCTTTTCTTGAACCCATCAGAGAGTTGAGGTTGCAGGATCAACATCAGCCTAAAAGCTGGAGAGACGCAAATTCAGGAAGTCATACCTGAGATCTTCTTTCCCCTTACCTGAAGCAGAAGCCGATGAAGCCATCTGCTTGTATGAAAACTTCAGGGTAATTTTGATGCCATCCTGTAGGCTGGGTGTGGACTAGATTGAAAGTGAGAAACTCCTGGGAGCTGTACCTGTTGGAACAGCACCAAACCAAATTCTCATAGTGAAGATTCAGGATAGATCCACTGGGGCTCTGTCAGGAGGAAGGAAAGAGTAATTATTGTAAAATAGGCTAAAAAATTCTCCATAATAAAGGCCTATTCTCTAGGGTAAAGGTCTTTATGAGAGCCTTATTTTATCTGGAGGAAGGATATTTTGTCCATTGCAACTACTTTTAGCTTTCTTGTCTCCCCAAGGGGTGGGATAGTTATACTAAAATGGGGGGGGGGACATATGTCACAAAGAAGGGACGCAGGCCCAATAAAGAATGAAAATTAATCATAAGATTCTAGAATGCTTTTCCTACCCTACATCTTAACACTACTTTAAGAAGACTCTAATACAGTAACACTAGATAATAGCTAAAAGACATGCAGAATGTAGACTCTCTCTGAATAGTAGTACTTAGGTAAACCGAGTACAAAGTCAATAGAAGAGACAAAAGCTAGGATACTAGAGGATTTTCAAGTTGTGGACACCAACAGCTGCATCAGATCAACACAGCCCAACTCATAGCCAGGTAAGAATAAATCCTCTTGCTAGAGACTTATTTACTTCAGTTTCTATTACCAAATACAACATGTTTGGCTTTAAACAACAACGAAATTACAAGGCATGACAAAAGGTAGTAAGAAATACAACCTAAAGAAACAAAGCACACAACAGAAGTAGACTTGGGTATGGGATAAATGTTGGCATTATCAGACAAAAAGCTTTACATAACTATGATTCATATTTTAAGGGCTCTTCATTAGTTTTCTATACTCTAACTGTATTGCAAATGTGTGGAAAAAAACTCATTGAAAGGTGTTAGGAAAGGAAGTATTGACTAAAATAACTTTTGAGTGACTAAAATCTGCAAAACTAAAAGCAAAATTAACTGTATATAAGCGCTGTACTCAAGTTGATAAAAATGCTTCCCCAAGGGATACAGGTTAACAATTCTAAAGACATTGTGCACTCACACTCACACATACATACACACACTAGCATTTAACAATTAAAGTAATGGATAGCAGATGGTGAGAGCATATGCTTTCTCCAAGCTTCTCACTGTTGGAACAGGAGGTTACAGATAAGCAAGAAGAAGAGGCTTGAATTACCCATGTAGTAATGAATTAGAGTTTGAGCCATCCATATAGATTAATATTTAGCCTGATGCATATACTTACACATAGAAATATTTATAGATGTGTATTTACATAGCATAGTATATACACATATATTTCTTTGTTCTGTCAGCTGAGAGAGTCTAGAAGCAATGATACGCCATTAGAATAAGTACAATTTGCACCCAGATCTTGATTTTTAATTCTGTTCTCTAACATAAGGAATCAGAACTCTTCATAAAAATAGTTGCCTAGTTCATTCTAAGACTGGGGCACGGAATATAAAACATGAACTTGAAGATGCTTCTAGCATCAGAAATTAAAGAAGTACACAAAACACTGACGTACACACACACACACACACACACACACACGCTCACCCTACCCACCCTGCCACACACAGATTGGTGGGGCCATGTCCATGGAATAAAGGAGTCAACTGAATGAGTTCCAATGGCCAAAGCTAGAAAAATGTAAACAACAAAATGTGCAAATAATATTGAATTGCAATTCAAAATATAAAATGAATGTTCATACTAATATAAATGAATGATTGACTGAATAAATGAGGAAGAACATACAAATTTCCAAAATAATTTATGTGGGTACTCTGTCCTTAAGGAGTGGAGCGTAACATTCCATTCTTCATGTGTATGGTGTACATAGTGACTCCCCTCCAAAGTGATTAGTACGCAAGCGGGGTAAGTAACTGCAGTGGAGAAGCCTGGGAAATATTACCTTAGCCAGGTGGTCAAGTTTAACATTTTCAGTGATAAATCATGTTGCTAGTATGTATCCTTGAAATGAATGTGATGGAAATGACACTTTACCTTTGTGGCATTCTTTCCAAAAACCCACAACCCCAGTTTAACTATGAAAGAAAACATCAGACAGACTCTAATCAAGGGGCATTTTACAAAATCACTGACCAATACTCTCCAAAACTGTCAAGATCATTAAAAACAACAAGGAGAGTCTGAAAGACAGTCATAGTCAAGAGAAACCTAAGGAGACAGGAGACTAAATGTAATGGGACCCTGGTACAGAAGAAATACATTTGGGGAAAAAAACTAAGGTAATTTAAATAAAGTATGGACTTAATAATAATATATCAATATTGATTCATTAATTTTAACAAATATACTATATACTGTAAATGGTATGGGGATACCATTGATAATAAGGGAAACTTATTATAGATGATAATGATAATAAGAGAAATTGGGTAGAAGATATATGGAAATTCTCTATACTATCTTTGCAATATTTCTTAAATTATAAAGGTTTTCTAAAATAGTTTACTTTTTAATGTTTGGGTACCTGGTTGGCAAGTCAATGTCCTAATGGAGGCACCCAGTCTTTTGAGGGGTATTGTCTTCTGTGATTTCATACAGAACATGGGGGATAGTAGCTCTTCCTTGGGAGAGATAGGCTACTTCTGAGGGTTTAAACATTCAGAGAAGTCTGGATAGTTAAAATATTTGGAAACATTCACCCACATGCCACTATCCCATGTGCCAACGTCTAAGACTTGCCCAACCAAAGTCCTGATTTTGGCATAACAGACCTCCCTTGATTGGGCTTTTAACTTTCTTGAGTGGGGATGTCCCTACTCAGACTATTAGATAACAGTTCTTGTCCTTATATCTCTCAGCCTTGCTTCTGCAGGAAAAGAGAGTTTTCTGATTTGCAAATTAAAAAGGCCATTGGGTTTTACTTATAGCTTTCAGTTATATAATTCTGACTCTCAGATGTTCATTATTTTTTCTTTAGATCGTCAACGATACTTAATAATAACCATCTAATTTCATTATGCCTATGTGAACCATCTCCTTCATAGTCTTAAATACTTAACACATTCTACCTGCTAGTGCATTTCCTCCACCAGTACAGCCTCCCAGTTCACCACCGGTAAAAGCTAAATGGGTTCCTCCTACCACCAGTGAAGGAGTCCTCATTACCAACCAGAAAGTGAGTGATCCAGCTCCAAAACCCCATCTAATTGTATGCTTTCTCAGGCCACTGTGATTTTATTGCTGGTTGTGGCAGTTTGGGCCACCCAGAAGAAAAACAAAACAAAACAAAAAAACTGAGATGATGTCTGAAGTATGAGATACTGGTTAGGGAATAACATATGTGAAAGGAAAGGAAGAGAAACAGAATTGGGTAGAGGAAAAAGTGGGAATGTGATGTAAGCCCAGCAAGGCCTCAGCCAACCCCGTGGAGAGCTTTGAAGCAAATATTTCCCAGCAAAGGATTATGGTGAGCCAAGTCCCTATAACGCTGCCATCCTGGCTTAATGGCTGAATGCAGGCTGCCTGGGGGGGCTGATGGTGAAGGCTGTGCCTCTCTGCAGCTGGTGCAGGCACTAGAAGAGCTGACAGCTGGAGACTGTCTATGGAACCCACTCCTATTGATTAAGAAGAAAGTTCTTCAAAGCAAAGTTCTCTTGTTGAGAACACAATTTGCTACAAAGAGAAATAAATTTTACACAGAGAAAAAACTCAATCTTTGAAGAGAAAGATGAATACCACCCCTATAAAACATCACACATTACAAATAAAGTGCTTGTGATTTTCAAGATAGTGGTAAGTTTGTGTGATTTTATTTTTCTCAACAAGGAAATTCAATATCAACACAACTGAATTTGTATTGTATCTTTCATGTTTTGTAAGTTGTTAGTTTAAAGTATGTTTAAGTAAGAACTGTTCTTTGAGCTATGTGCAATGCCTCACTTCTATAATCCCAGCACTTTGGGAGGCCAAGGCAGGAGGATTGCTTAAGACCAGGAGTTTGAAACCAGCCTGGGGAAAATAAGGGGACCCTGTCTCTACAAAATATAAGAAAAAATTAGCTAGGTGTGGTGGTGTGCACCTGTAGTCCCAGCTACTTGGGATGCCAAGGCAGGAGGATCTCTTGGGCTCAGGAGTTCAAGGGTGCAGATGTTGTGAGCTATAATCATGCCACTGTACTCTGGCCTAGACAACAGAGTAAGATCCTGTCTCTATTTAAAAAGAAAACAAAACAATGGTCCTTGACAAACCATATGCTCTATTTTTTCTTTGGGAAAAATACATTACTCTTTAATTACATGACTTACTTTGGTGGCCTACTTATTGTGAAGCTTAAACAAATGTGGGGATACTCTTTATCCAAAGTCTACAAAATGAGCCAGGATTTATGGTAAAAATTATAGTAACACTCCATAAGCACCTTATGATAAAAACCCCAAGAATGTCTGATGATGATGATGGTTTACATTTATTTTTTGCCTATTTTCCAGCTCCCTTCCAAGCACTTTGCATACATTTTGTCGAGCAATCCTCATATAGACTTTGGAAGTGGATTTTGTGGTTACCATTTTAAAAATCAGGGAATTGGTTTAAAGAGGCTAAACATCTTGCCCAAATTAACACAGCTAATAAGACTGAGCAGGGTCTTTCACACCATTCACTCCAGAGTCTGCCTAAGCATCTTGTTCAATCTGCTAGGTTGCCAAAAGTCAAGGTATGAAATCTACAAATATATTATACTAAATGGGAACAAGTGCCAGAGAAAAGAACTAGTGAGGTACTCACTAGTTCTTTGTGCGATTGCATATCTTATAATTGGATGATTAATTACAGGGGCTGCTGAGTTATGTCATTTTAATGGAAGTAGTACATGGGGATTAAGGGCTGGGGATGTGACAACAGACCACTTAGGGTAAAGTTCTGTCTATGCCATCTACCAGCTTTATGCCTTGAGCAAGTTATCTAAGTTCTCTGTGCCTTATTTTTCTTATAATTAGAAATGATGATGACTGCTTCTTATAATTATATATAATATCACATGATTACTTAACAGTGTATGGCACATGGTAAACACATGCATAAATGTATTTGTTTAACCTTGAAACTTGAAAAACCCATATTTAGTTACAAGGGGTTGAGAATTTCTAATATTTCCTATTAAACAAGCCAGCTGGTCCATAAATATTACTAGATGCAACATCGTCTGGGATGTTGGGAATCCAATATTAAAATACAAACAAATCCACTACTCTCATGGACATTTCAGTCTCCTGTGTTCTGCAGTGTGCTTTATGACATGAAAAAAAAGAATGTGACATATGGTATTTACCCTCATATGCTGCAGATGGAAACACAGGAAAGCATCATTGTGACTTTAAACATAACAACACAGAGAAGAGCCGCAGTCCAAAGAAGAGAAGGTATATGTCTCTGGGTGAGCTCCCAGAAAGAAGCAGAGCTTAAGACAAACTAAATAAAACGCCATCCTATTTGAAAATGTTAGATATTAAGCTGGTTTTATCTATCTGCAATTTAAAAAATAATTATTTCCAAGTATGAAAAGATGCAAGAAGAATAATACCATCATGTATACCAACCTCTTGGCAAGAAAAAATAAAGCATTGTTAATACAAGTCTAGCACTCTGTGAACTGCTCCTTGAAATTCCATAGATTATCCCCAATATACAGGTATTACTGTCTGTTCCATGTGCTAGAAATTAACTGTTCCACTATAATGATGAGCAGGATTATTTGATTATTCGAAAGGCATTTAGTTACCATGAAAATTCTTTTCACAAATATAAAATGATGTCTAGTAAGGTAAAAGTATAGCCTGTTGTTAGACCTCTTAGATGTCTCTAGAGTTCAGAGTAAAGCAAAGTTTCCTGATATACCAAGTCATCCTTATTGAGATTAATTTATTACATTCTCACAAAAAAATAATTCCCCTCTTTTTACAGTAAGGAAACAACACTTAAAAGAGATTGCTCAGGATCACCAGGACAAATGGGGTAACCATGGTTTGCAGTCCATCCTCTTAACTCCAAGTCCACAAATATTGCCTTTCCATTACTAGTCTTCCCATGGGTATGTTGAAAGTTTAGGTGCTATGGTGATTATGGACTAGTTTCAAATATTGGTTTTACCAAACACTATCTATGTGACTTTAGGAGTGACTATAAACCTCAAGCCACATACATAGTAAATGTTCCACAAATAACTATTATTCTTGTCCTAGAAGATGATTGAAATCTTCAAAGTACACTATATTAAAAGTCAACACTCAGAAATTGCCAGAGAAGGAGGTGAGTTGGGCTTGGGAGGTAAATGCTGATTGTCAACAGGTGGCTGTAGGTTATAAGCTGTAGGTTGGAAAGAAAGGTTGTCAGTAGAAACAGGGCTGGCTTGATTGTAACTGTGCTCTTATCTCTTGAGATGAGATAAACCAAAACCCTGAAGCCTTGACTGCCCCTCAACATCAATATCATGGAACAATATGTTTTTCTTTTTCCTTCACAGGTCACATACCACTCAGGTTTGCAATGACTTCTTCTGAAATTCTGGGGAAAACTTATAACCTTCTGGAGATATTTGAATAGAACAATTGTAGTAAATTCATTAATAGCATCTTCCCCAGATTGAAGACTATGATAACAGCTCAGGGCTGTCTTCACCTATGGTCAGGGAAGCAACACCTTATCTCAGTAGAAATAGCCAACTGACAGGGTTAATGAGAGAAAATAGCAAATGTAAGTTCCATTTATTTCCAGGGAGGGATACCATCAATGTCCCAATCAGAAGAAGCCCAAGCTGTTCAGGATACAGGTCCCTCTAAAGCAAAAATACTACTAATGCTGAACCCATGAAATGTAATTGAAGAAAAGATTGCAAAAGTAATTTAAGAAATTTGTTTGGAGGCAAAACTTATCATTTATAGACAGGAAAAGACAATTAAGGTGCTCTAGTTTTCCCAAAGAATAATGGGTTGTTTGCAAAGAGCTGCAGGAACTCAGGGAGTATGCTAACATTCCTATTTGGTCTTTCCTGGGGTCGGAGGTGGCATTGGTGGACACTAATAAATTAGCTCATGCAAAGCCCTTTTCTTCCTTGTGAGTTCTAGTGCTCAGAAATAGTAAGTTTGAATCAACCCACTGACAGGTTTACATGGGGCTTGAAAAATTGGATATTGCAGAAACCAACTTCTATATCCCCCACAGGCCTTTCTTTTGCCAAGAACAATATTGCCTTGAACAAGAGAACTTGAAGGAAAATGGTTTGAAATATTCTTTCATATGGGAAGCTCAGGAAGATTTATAAACACATACCTGACCTTCTCCAAGAAACACTTTGATTTAATCTCTTTCGTGCTCTTCTTTCACAAGAAAAAGCTTCTCAGAAATTTTCTCAGGATGGATGGAATATAACTCATGAATAAAATTTGCCTGGTTCACAGGCTACTGCTGAGTTCTGAGTTGCTTCAACAGAAATCAATATAATGCCTTCATCCTAAGAGGGAGAGTCATTCAACCTTCTCCAACCTCATAGTATCGAGGACGCCATTCATATAGCACCAGATCTCAACTCTCAAACCCTGATTCTTCCATCAAACCCTAGTATACCACCCCAATCTTGTCTTCATCCCCTGGCTCCGTGTTGAAACTTTTTTCTGTTATTTGAATGCACCAAATATAGTTTTGTTTCAGTTCCTATGAATAGGTATTCTTCCTTCCTAGAAAGCTCTTGTTCTTAATTTTTCTTTTGAAACCCCACCTTTCCTCCTTCTACCTAATGGGTTTCTTCACATTCTTTATGTCACTTCATTACTTTTGAGGGAACATATGTGATCCCAAAGTAAATTGGGTCCTTCTAGATTTTTTCCCAAGAGCTTATACTTTTGCTTCATAACAATTGCATAATTCTTTATTGTGGGTATTTTTTGTTTGTTATGTTTACTATTTATCTCTCTCGAGTGACTGGAACTTTCAAAGGTCAAAGCCCAGATGTGTTTTTGCTTTAATATATCTGCTGCACTTAGCTCTGAGCCCAGAGCAATGTAACCACTTAATTAATATTTATAGAAGCAATGCTTGAACAACCTTCCTTTTCTACATAAGCTGCCTACTCTATGTTACACAGCACTCACTTCTGAATGCCTCTTTTGATATGCTGTGGCCTAGGGAAAAATTAGTCTGTGGACAAACTAAACACATAGTTTCTGGCTTCAAGAAGCCTCCTTAAGTGAGGAGGCCAATATTAAAAAAACTATAATAAAAATTATAATTGTAACTTGATAATGTATATGAAAAAAATTTAACAAGGCTAAATGAGATAGTATTACAAAGGGCTCTGATTTAGAACAGAGGATCAGAAAAGGCTTCTCAATTGATCACCAGTATCACACTGTGAAGAGCTGATGGCTGAAGGCCTAAAATGAAGCCAAGGTTGCACAAGGGTTCCTGACTTGCACATGAATTTCAATCTTTCCTCTGCCTGCCCTTTTATTTAAAGGCAGTTTCTGACCTTCAATATTTACTGCCACTGGATGCCAAGCAGTAATTTTGCTTTCCAGGTCTTCCTAGGTATTGTTCCTACCATTTTTGAATACCAATGGATTTTCTAAACCAGTTTGCCAGTCATTTGCGTGCAAATTGTAAGCCCAGATACCATAAGAAAATTGTCAGTATGGAAATAAGATTCTCCCTAGCCCCTAAAATAGGTAAATAAATAAATAACATAGGAGCCAGAGCCTATATCCATACTTAGCAGCTAAGGGAGATTTGTGTTAGG